AACGGGAATCTCCCAATACAGATGGGTCTTTGCAGAACGGTAAGTNTACCCATTTACCTAACACCCTGTATATTAGATTAAATATGTAAATTGCAAGATAGCACATGACAAATACATAAGATGTCATCGTTTTTGCCTTGAAGTCTGTCCTCCTTAGGTGCATCAATAAAAATACTATACAGGCAAATGGAAAGGCTAATGAACCCATAAATACCAATCTGTCAGTTAAGTTTGGTTAGCTGAAAAGGTACACACCGATCTTTTACGTAGATCGATCGACGTTGAATAGAACGAGATCTAAAGGTGATTCTAATTAATGTCAAATATGCATGCTCATATCGAGATAATGCTACCACTTACCAGATGTATCGTAAGTGATTGTAATGATGAGTCATGGATGGGAAACTAATATTAGCAAAAAAGTTTAATGTATAATAAACTAGCTGACCCGGCGAACTTTGTTCCGCCTTAATGGCAATAAATAAGCAGACTTTTTTTTATAAATTTCGATTGGGATAAAAAGTATCCTATGTCCTTCTCCTGGCTCTAAACTACCTCCCTGACAATTTTCAGCTAAATCGGTTCAGCCGTTCTTGAATTATAAGTGGAGTAACTAACACGACTTTCTTTTATATATATACTAGCTGACCCGGCGAACTTTGTTCCGCCTTAATGGCAATAAATAACGGGATAAAAAGTATCCTATGTCCTTCTCCTGGCTCTAAACTATCTCTCTAACAATTTTCAGCTAAATCGGTTCAGCCGTTCTTGAGTTATAAGTGGAGTAACTAACACGACTTTCTTTTATATAATAGACTAGCTGACCCGGCGAACTTTGTTCCGCCTTAATGGCAATAAATAAGCAGACTTTTTTTTTTAATTTCGAACGGGATAAAAAGTATCCTATGTCCTTCTCCTGGCTCTAAACTACCTCCCTGACAATTTTCAGCTAAATCGGTTCAGCCGTTCTTGAGTTATAAGCGAAGTAACTAACACGACTTTCTTTTATATATATAGATATAGAAGATAATGTTCTTAATCTTTTAATGTTCTAGTATGTATTACAAACACTGCATGTTGTACGAACATGCCATATTAGTGCCTGAATGTAGCTGCACTTTAGGTCCCTTGTGTGCTTACATTTTGCAATAAAAATATTTGAATTAGGTTAGATATTTCTTTATTTATAATACTAAACCGACTTAGGAGAGTCACGAAACAGGATAGTGACTGTCAAATGTAGGTAAAATAACTCAAAAAACCTAATATTTCAGTTTTGTTTTGTAGTTAGTGTCGGTCATCATCATAATTTCGGCCCTTTTTCGGCCACAGAACTACAGAACGTCCACAGCTGAACATAGGCCTCTCCCAATGATTTCCACATCGCCCGGTTGGTAGCGGTCTCAGTCATAAAAACATTGAAATATTATGGCCATATTACTCTCAAATCCTTATTACTTTTGCATATTACTGTTTGAATAATATTATATTTGCTTTATCTTATATCAGATTAGGAGATGAAATAAATCCAACGACGTTTGACACTTGATAGACAAAGAATGGAAAATGCTAACGATCTCAATGATAATTGCAATTAGTTTAACATAATCTATTAAATTACTTCAGAAATGGCGGCTAATACTCTTTATGATCCGCGCTGATAGTTTACTTACTTATTGAATTTACCGTAATAATGTGAACTACGTGTTTTCTTGCAAGTTACTAATAAGTCATTTATTAAAGTATGATGTAATGTAATGTAATCAGGAGCGATCTCATGACTATTAGGAACCCAAAAGATGAGTTTCTTCACGTATGATGAATCATAGAAATAACCTTCGAGATTAATTTTAATAATTGCCTGGACACTTTTTGTAAAAATAGAAATCATATAATCTTATACTTACAATTTTGTAGTAAAATAGCATAATTATTACAACTGCACAAGATGCCACTCTGTTTCAGCTTTATAATATGAGGTCGTCCGAAACTAGGTACGATACCAATCAATATGTAATTCTTAAATAACGATAACACGTTCTAAGAAAACATTTTGCAGTTGAACAGTACGAGCCTTTCAAAAGAATATTGCAAAAACTGGGATATAATGAAACATGGCCTTCATAAAAATAGCAGATCGTCTATCAATGTTATTGTACTGTTCTATTTCTTAGACAATCCTAGTCACATCACTAAAGGTCAACGCACGTGGCCTCGTCCTTGCCTTTCCGATTATCGAATCATTCGAATGATGACTCGAACTCGGTCTCGATTTGCCATCGACAATTTTTACTTTTTAAAAAGACAGGCAAAGGAATATCCGTCTTATGCCGACGTATGAAGTCGATGGATTGACATTCGGAATCGTTGAAATACGTTGCCGAGAGTAATGGGGGTTAATGTTGGTCGATTATTCGTGCAATTTCGTTCTCGACTGTTGGTTTTAGAGTCGGGAGATTGACGACGCTGTGATTGTGCTGAGACTGGCTAACGGGACAGCATAAAGGAAACAACCAGCTCAAAAAAGCTTAATTCTTTGTAGTTTTGAAGACAAATACTAACAAATTGATAGTTTTATAAGATTAATGTTCGAGTTTGAAGTAGAATTTTCAGAAAAGCCTAAGTTTTCAGTTTTTGTTATTTTTCATTACTCTTCTCTACTATGACAAAAATCATAGCAATAATTATAATTAGAAAAATAACAGCAAAGTCAGTATCTAGTCAATCACCAAGTCGTAATCCTATCCTCTCTTGATTCTTATGAGCTTTTCAAAATATTAAAATATTACACGTTCCTCAGCAACATTTGTTTCATCTGTTAAAAGACCTGGCGGTACTCTTTGCGCCATGCTAACAGCCCCGTACGTTTATCGTAGAGCGGTTATTTTGTTTGTCCGTGTGTAAAGTGGGTTTGATTTGTGAGCGCGTTTACTGTGCTCTGCCTACGCTCGGCTTAAACGAATGATATAATGATACCAATGTAAATAGAAATAATTAATTCTCGTGTGAAATGTAATGGCTCAAATTGGCCTGATATCGCATTCACAAACAATTTTAAAACACCAAAACATTTTAGCATTCGGCGAGTTTAATTCTCATTTCACAATGCTTTAAAGTCATGAATATTTAAGATGTCGTAATTCAAAATAATGACAACGAAATAGCAGTTGACAATAATGAGAAGGCAGTTAATTTATTTCTCATCCAATTGCTCAATTTCAGCATCATTATAGTCTCCGCTTTGTGTTTCTGTAATTAATTTATCAGGTATTCTGAAATCGCAAACGTGACAAATAAATATCCGCCATTACGGTCTGACAGCGCTTTATCCCGCTGTGGGTAGTATCACACATGCAATCTCCATGTCACCCGTCACTCGTGCCATCTTCACACGGCTTCATTCGAAAGTGTTCCAATTTTGAATTTGTCCAAAGCACTAAATTCCCGCCACACCGAGTCACGAGTCACGTTTTGAATTTCAAATTTAGAATTTCGCGCCCTCGACGTAAGTTTAGAATTGTTTGTCTATGGTTTGACAGTTAGTGTTGCGAACTGCGAGTACTCGATTCGCCCGATTTAATCGCTCACGTAGTTGGTAAAGCGTCTACACGCGGACGTCACGTTTGATCATCATGTTAACTTTCTCTAACGTGTGACTTAAAAGCGTTTATGTTGTCGTAGGTCAGATATTCCCAACCTTTTTTAATAAAGACCAATTTTAGTAAGAGACTTTACTTGGTAATTTTCTCCGTAGTTGTTTTTAAACGCTTTCCTAGAAATACTTTGACTGCTCACCACTATCATTATACTCCTAGTCATATTAGATCTATCCAGGGATTTAGAATACACGGAATTATAATAAAGAGCATTTTCAGGTTTGCAAAAAACTGTGAGTGCAACTCCTGTCTTGAGATAAAAAAATCAGCTGCAGTATTTTCTTGGAAAATGTATGTTTTTTCCTCATCTTTTATCTGCTACTAAAACAGTGGGCGTTTTGGACATAATCCTACCCATATAAATGATCTTATTATTTTCCCTTTTAGACTAAGTTTGGGAAACTCTGTCGCAGGTTATCGAGATGATCGTAAGTGTTGATGGCTTAATCTGAACGTGCTTTATTTGCAGTACCTTTGTAATTTTGCAATGTTTGACATGATTGTTTATGGTTAAAACATTGTGGTATGTTCTATAGATAAGTTATGGCGGTAGAGTGTAGATGCATATCAACGTGAGAATTAGGTACTAAATCTTACAAAATATGTAGTAGCTATAACACCAAATTCATTCGCTCTATGTATGTCTCTAATGATCTGAGAAAGCCTATCTCCCAAAGTCTTTGGTAAAGTCTGAAGTCATTTTAATTATAAATAACTTGAAAAAATCGAACTATCCAAGGCGGGAATCGAACTCACGACCAGTCATTGCCATCTTGTTAGACATTGGCCAAGTCTATTTTCGCGGATTAAACCTACTCTACTCTCTAATCCTACTTCTAGTAACTTTAGTACTTTTTGATAAATTTTCCTTGCAAAATTATCTGACTTTTCATGAGCTTTATTACCCCATCGTTCATAAGTGCCACTTGTGGTCTAAACTGAATAAATATTTTCGATTTTTTTTTTCTACTTTTTTCTAAGCTCTACTTTCAGGCACCTGCACTAGTAATTAAATTAGGACTTAACACTAAGGCTGAGTTGCACCACCTAACTTTGACCGTATTTATAACGATAACCAGTTCCAGTTTTGTATGGAATTTGACAGAATTTTAACGTTTGTCAAAGTTAAAGTAAGATGGTGCAACCCAGCCTTAGAGCGCTTTCACATTAGGGCGTTAGTAGCGCGACTGCAGCGCGTTTTTATAATGTGAAGGCATGCATCCGCTGTCACATAGTATGAAATTTTCGGGATCGCGTCTGTCGCGCGTTTATCGCGCGTTTGTCGCGCTGCTAAATCGCCTAAAAGTGAAAGCGCTCTTAGTTGTAAGAATGTAAGTGACTTACTTAGTCGATGCTTGCTCTGCGCCTCCTTACAGCAGTCAGGGTGCAGCAGGTGGTACCAGCTGACGCCGTGAAGCGAACTCCTCTCCCAGCCCAGGTGCCATTCGCTACTGGACAAACAGACATGAAGTTAGTACCTATTAATGTTACGAATGGGGGCTACTAGGGCAGATCTTTTGTTGAAAAGTGAGCCGTTTTCGTACCACCATCTATGATAGGTATGGAAATCATATTAGATTTTGATCAAAAACATAAAGTTGAAAAAATACAGGGTGCATAAGAAAAACAGATTCTCTTAATAGTTTCGATACAACTTTTCATAAGAGAGTAAGAGACTGCTAATAATAAGTATTCATCATCATCATCATTTCAGCCATAGGACGTCCACTGCTGAATTTATTGTCCCTCCCCCAATGATTTCCATGTTGACCGGTTGGCACCGTCCTAATAATAATCGATCTTTAATTTGCTAAGCGTTTTTAGCTTTTAACGTTTTCATTTTTAATTTTTGTTCAGGAAATATATTAAACACTTACAAACCTGCAATTAAGCATTATACAATACGATATCAACTGACAGTCAAGTTGGTCATAATAGCTCATAGCAGACAACTTTTGATGGCTGTCTAAATAAAAAAGCTTTTAAAAATAGCCAAACGTTTTGCAATGTGTGTCATTATTATTTTTATCCAGTTGTAAGTAAATATTCCACTCATGAAATAAATGCAAGAGTAAATGACTGATTGACTGCTGTTTTTCTCATTTAAGACACTGAACTAATTTTAATGTATTTTTATTTTAGAGGCAAATAGAGCAGGATATAACTATTTGATTGAGAAATGGAAGTACGAGTATGAGTAATCAACTGAGTATGAGAACGTAAAATTTCTAAAATTAGTCTTAAACACAAGTTTCGGTATAGCTCACAACTTTTTGTTAGATCAAGGAAAGAGAACGAACGAACCCGCGGGCAGAAACTAAATTGTTACAGTTGTAACAGTTAAAGCTAGTACCTACTTAATTACACGTTAAAAAGACCTCGTCATTAAGCGCTAAGCTTAAAGTTATAGTATTGAGGTACTGATCAGTCGCCAGCACATCAAACTACTTTTTTGTTCTAAAAACACTCTTATGTCAACTACATAAAGTGTCTCAGTGTGGAGCTTGATGTGCTGTCGCTAATATATTTCTTTGATACACATTCCAAAGATGCATTCGAGCACGTGCTATTTTAAAATATAATTAGCCTTGATCTATTTTTGAACATAATAATCAAAAATGATTGATGTAATTATAGTGAACTTGACATAAACAAACACTGGGCCACAGACACTATTAATCATAGTACGGTCCTCGTTTCTCAAATTTGCCTGTTTGGAGATATCATTGCCAGTTGTAATAAATAAGTATTTAATGTACCTACCTACTTCCTATAAGTATGTACCTATTAACTTATCTATACTTATAACCGCATACTTGATAGGTATAGGATTTTGTACTAGTCCAGCTTACTGTTAACTTAACTGTTATGAATAATATTTTTGATTATATAGCTATGTTTTACTAAAACCATCATTGTTTTTTCTCTCTTTTTCTTTAAACGTTTTTTCTTTAAATTGTTAGAGAGCATTGGTTTGTTCTCAATCAATTTTACAATTAAGGTGTAATAATATTAATACCTTAAAACTACGTTACGTTTTAGCTCAGACAGTTGTTATACCACGCGCGTCAATCATCATTTTTCTTATGCTGTACTAAAGTGCTTACACTTAAAAAATAATAGAGCATTTAAATGATTATTAAATAACCGTTTGGTAACTCCTTGTTAATGGTGGTCTTAATATTATTATACGTTTTGTTGATTCATCCTAGTACATCGAACTAGTCGTGCGTATGCTTCGGTAAGGTTATAATTGATATCGTTTTAATAAGTAGGTAAATGTTTTTATTAATATTGCATCCGCAATCATAACTAAATCGAAATATCACTACTTCTTCCTGATAACTCCCCTTAATTTAATATCACATTTGGCGATAATTTACCTATATCACATTCTCAAAAAAGCTTAAAACCTTAAATCTTGCAACGGAGGCAAGTCGATATTATATTTTGAACTCCAGCTATATTTTTCTGATCGAGTTCGTTGCTAGTTCCAAGATAGTAACCTATCCTTGGGAGTACTCAACCTTCATTGGTTGGGTTTCAATGAAGGCTAACTTGTAGGTATTGGTTAAACAGAAGTTGAAATGCGGAAAAAGAGAAGTGGGATTAGCTTATTTTTCACCATCAATCCCTAATTTTTAAGTGACCTTTATGGTAACACATACCTAACAGGCATTTTGTTTTCAAAGGGGTCATTTAAAAATTAGGGATTGATGGTGAAAACGGACATTAGTCTCGTACCTATATACTTTCTCCTTCATCTTTTGTGTTATAAATATGGGCTTTAACGTATCCACGAATTACTTTTAATGTTAATAAAGTGTCATTTTTTGTAAAAATATGGGCTATTTCGGCTACAAAAATTTATATTCTGATATGTTATCGACTGTACATGGTCATAATGCTTAAGACAGAGGCAAAGAAAACAATCACAAGGAGATTAGCCAATTTATCGATACATAATAACCACTTAGGCGCCGGTAAACGCTTCCAGGGTCAGCCGTTGAGTGTGTAAATGACGCTTGTTTTTTAAACTTGAGCTTTAATTTTTTGTGGTGTAAAAGCTTTGTTACTATAAATGTGATTAAATTTAATTTTCATATGGTATTGTAGAGTGAATGAAATAATTTTTAATAAAAAATATTACTGACAACTGTTCAGAGTCGATTATTTCTAATTCAATAATATGATGATTGATTCTTCGGATTTTATTAATATTAAAAAGATAACCAACAATATAAAGCATGATTTTTAAATCTTGTAGTAATTTATTAAATTGAAGCTGACTAGGTGTAGTTTGCGTTAAATGTCTCACGACACCATTTTGACCGGGATCTTAGAATTCCGCATTTTCGTTCTATCTCTTAGACGTTACGTCTGTAGGTAGCTGAATTGATGTCATCATAAAGTTATCCATCTAATCGAAAAGCCGGTCTCCTGGACTATCCATCAATCGGGGAGCGATGCGAGCTTTTACACGACATGACTTGTTTGAGCAAAAGCGCATTTTAAATTGCAAATCAAACTTGTATTTTCGAAAAATCACAGGATAGGCGATTACCTATCTCCAAGGTCTATCAAATATAAGGTATTAAATATTGTCTTGAATATACACATTTTATAAGAGATAAACGACCATCATATATGACAATGATAATAAATTATACCTACACTTGTCCCTAGCGGGAATCGAGAGCGATCATCGATTCACTCTGAAATAGATTTAGAGTAGACGCATGCCGTTGATTTTTAGTTGGCCGATAGTTGTGCCCGATTTTAAATTGTATGAAGAATCGGCCAAATCGAATCGGCGTAGTGTGCGCACTCCCATACATGCCCATACTAATCAACTGCCCGACTAAACTATCGACCGACGAAAAATCAACGGTGTGCGCCTACTCTTAAGAGCGAAATAATAAAAGTTCAAAGTTAGCTAAAGCCCAAAAAGTTCATAAAAATCATTTATTTTCCACAAATACACTTTTAAAAAGCGCTCTAATACCTCCTAGTGTTTAGCGCTACCACTGTTTTGGCACAATAAATGGTCTAGTGCTGAGAAGTGGCGCAAGAAAAAAATCGTACTTTTAGCGTATCGTGTAAAGGCCCCAAACATTGATCTTTCACCCTGTGGGAGTCTGCTATCACCATAGGCTTCTTGGTGACACGGCACAGTGTTTTATTTTGGCTTAGAAGCGGACATCCCTGTTTTATTAATTCAATCGTTAGATATTACTATTATGTATACAATTGATGAAGGAACTAGTAGTTGTATTTGTTTAGTTTCGAAGAAATATTCGATTTTGTGATTTTATAAAAAAAACTGTTTTAGAAGCATATTTTCTAAAAAAATTACATTAAGTCAGAATTTTGTAAATAAATTTACCTATCACTATAACGTCTACCTTTATGTGAAAATAAATGGTTATTGCTGCAGTAATTTAGGAATTATTTAATAATTTATGATTTTCAGAAAACATTTTTTTCTCTGTTGTCCTAGAAAAATGGCAGCTAGACTTACTTTATATTGATGCATGATATAATTATCTATAATACCTGAAAATATTACTTGCCTATCCCGTGGAAGTTCGAAGATATTTTAATTTCTATGAGTTTAGAAGATTTATATGTAAATAGGGTTGTCATCTAAATATTTTTTAGTTTTTTAAATGCCGTCCGTAACAATACGGTTTTAATGCCTTTGTTAGATAACTATTGAAATTCATTGCTTTTACCATTATTAATTTGTCTGGTCGAGTTTGATAATTATAGAGTTGGCCCTGTGGCGGCTTATTGGAAATCCTATCGTTTTCGAAACATCGATATATATGTTGCAGTCAAAACTCATAATCGATCAAAACCACTTTTGACTGCAAATTTCAGTTAATAGTGGTTTTGACCGATGGCCTTAGTCAATATTACTTTTGACAAATTTTTCTAGTCGTATCATCGAACTTCCACGGGATAGGCAAGTAATATTTTCAGGTATTATAGATAATTATATCATGCATCAATATAAAGTAAGTCTAGCTGCCATTTTTCTAGGACAACAGAGAAAAAAATGTTTTCTGAAAATCATAAATTATTAAATAATTCCTAAATTACTGCAGCAATAACCATTTATTTTTACATAAAGGTAGACGTTATAGTGATAGGTAAATTTATTTACAAAATTCTGACTTAATGTATTTTTTTTAGAAAATATGCTTCTAAAACAGTTTTTTTTATAAAATCACAAAATCGAATATTTCTTCGAAACTAAACAAATACAACTACTAGTTCCTTCATCAATTGTATACATAATAGTAATATCTAACGATTGAATTAATAAAACAGGGATGTCCGCTTCTAAGGCAAAATAAAAGACTGTGCACGGCAGATAGTAAATACATTAATTCCAGCTGCTTTGTAAAGCAATAAACAGTGCAGATATTTTAATAGCGCCCCACTCCCACGGATTTGAGCCTGATGCCCCTAATAAGTCAGGTAATCTATGGTACTTTGTAAATTGCTATGGTAAATTTATATTTAGTGGAAAATAAAACAGATAGACAGACGACAGGACATAAACTATAACTGTAACGTTTTTCTCGTAGTAATGGATGCGGTGCAATATGAGAGACAATTTAAAAATGCAAGATGCGAAAGATTAGAATACATTAAGATTTGAAAAGCCATGTGGTACTAAAACAAAGTTTGGAACATGGACTGAAAGAATAACGTGACAATAATTAATTACGAAGAAAACGAACTTTATCAATAGACAGTTTGACACCATACCCCAATAATTCGAAACCACAACTGTTTTAAAAAGACTCTTCATTCTGGTCTTAAAAACCTAATTTATTTTAAATTACCTGTAAATTTCGATTTTTGTTCGAATTGTAATTGAAAAAAGTAGTTTAATTGGATTGACAAAATAGTGACGTCACTTGCTTGTAGTGCCATACAAAATCTATGGGAGAGTTTCGTTTTGACAGTTTTAAAAAGTACGTCAATTGACTGTGGTGTCAACATGATCTACCATAGTATTTTAATCGTATGGTGAAGCCTATCAAAGTTTTAATACATTTGAAAGAAAGAAAGGACATCATCCATTTTGGTCCAAAATCAAAAGTGCCGGCCAAAAAATAAAAGTGCTGTATTCTGACAGATTACGTCCATTTTAGCATTTGTTACTATGGCACCAAAGCTGTAGCACCACTGTGCATCGTAGTATTTGAGATTAAAGTCATCCACGTTTCATATATTTTTAGAACGGACGTATTCTGTCAGAATACAGTACTTTTTTTTTATTGGCCGACACTTTTGATTTTGAACAAAAAATGTATGAATCGTCGATGAATTTTAGATCTCAAATACTCGACGCACAGTGGTGCTACAGCTTTGGTGCTATAGTAACAAATGCTAAGGCGGACGTATTCTGTCAGGATACAGCACTTTTTATTTTTTGGCCGACACTTTTGATTTTGAACAAAAAAGTATGAATCGTCGATAACTTTTAGATCTCAAATACTCGACGCACAGTGGTGCTACAGCTTTGGTGCCATAGTAACAAATGCTAAGGCAGACGTATTTTGTCAGAATACATCACTTTTTTTTTGTTGGCCGGCACTTTTGATTTTGGACCAAAAGTATACGAAACGTGGATGATGTCCTTTTATTTAGTCCAAAATCCTTACACTGCAACAAATTGTTCGAGTAAAGACACAATTACGTAAGCAATTACTTTAGCATTTACTTTTTAAAAGTCGCTCAACATTATAAAATTCTGCAACAAACTTACACACCGTAAATAAAAATAATACATACACACGTCACTCGTATAATCTAAGCGTTGAGCTGACTATTTGAAGTCACAATAAACAATGGTATTGTAGCTGTCGCCAGAGCCCGTCCATCAAAAGCAGATGGGACGGCTCTATTGAGCCATTTCATATTCATACAACGAGCGAGGTGACAAAAAACAGCAAAATGGAAAGAGGATTCCGTAGTATTGCAAGAACCACCACCCTGTTTTCTTGAATAATGTCTGTCTGTTGGTCGAAAATAGTTTCGAAAAGCCAAACGAAATAGAAAATAAGGACCAAAACAAAGCTCTAAGATTTGGTTTCTGAATTGAGATTTCCAGCTTGAGCTTACTTGTCTTATTTTTTAGATAATCAGAAGATAAATACGCTCAAATCAAAAACCTGAATTCTAAATATTAAAATATCGTTTATTACCTAAACGTTGATGTCTAAAAATATGGTAGTTGGGTACAGAACCCCATCATCTGTCATAAGTTATTTTCTGAACTTTAACGAAGTGAAAATAAGATGTTCATTGTAAAGAAATAACTGAAAGTTATGGAGTCACGAGGAAATATATTTCACAGTCATTAATATAAGTAATAAGAGAAAAATACGTTTGTCTCTGAATGCTGAACGGTTATCATGTTACAATGTTGCTCGAAGACATTCGATTTAATATGATGTCCTTTATGATTTAGTATGAAGCAGTAATTTATATTAACTATAGCAACATTTTCTTATTTTATTGGATATATTTCATTGTCTTCATCATCACTTTATTTTCCACTGCAGGTGCGAGGCAAGTGCAGGTTTTGACTTACATTCCTCACGCTGCTGCTTTGAATGTCTTATCAATTCTTCTAATTCATTTTTTTCTAAGCACATGTGCTAAATCAATTTTTGTGTCACACTTCATCAGGTTGAAGCACGAATGGAAGGTTCGTGAACTTTGGTTTCAGCCCCAGTACTTCTTCGTCGTACCTGTCTAATTTATATTTTTTTATATGTATACATCCGGAGGGTGATTGCATTAATCAACCAGGTTTTGTCTTCTTTTACAAGCTTTTATTAACTCTATTACTGGTCTGGTAAATTCGTGGACTCTGGGTCACAAGTTTAAGAATAGGTAGAACTGATATAAGGCTTTTTTGAAATAGTGTCAGAAAATCAGAAGCAGCTGTCATTATACACATGTATAATGTGAGTATATTCTGATGTCCACCGGCTGGAGGGCAATACGTCTGTGGTAACAGCTCGTCACCTGGTCGGAAGCTGGCTTTGCATACAATGACAGACGGACGAGCTACTGGCCGCTTTTATATTTATAGCCCGGGTGCACGAATCTATGAATAGATCAAACTTTCATGTTTCGGATTAAATTATGGAGTCAATATTTGATTTTTGGAATTGTACAGGAGAGATTTACGACTAAAGCGTCAAAAAGCAATTTCTCCGTTAATTATTTGAATAATTGTGCAAAAATACAAAACTTTAAAAATTTCGATTCAAATTGTATAAATTAAAATTGTCTTAGCGAAAATTATGTCAGTAGATCATTATCATCATCATCATTTCAGCCACAGGACGTCCACTGCTGAACATAGGCCTCCCCCAATGACTTCCACATCGCACGGTTGGTAGCGGCCTGCATCCAGCGCCTTCCTGCTACCTTTATCAGGTCGTCGGTCCACCTCAGTAGATACTATCGACATTTACTAACATGATTGTGCAGTAAGATCCTGTTTGCTTAACTATAACAACATCCTTGCTATTTAACATTTATCCTTTGGATTGTCCAGTAATTTTGTAACAAAAAGTAACAGGTTTTTTAACTACAAAATCGAATTGAAGTCCAACTCACATTACATTTAAAGATCCTTGACATATCAATATTTTTAACGCTTTCTGATAGATCTAGTTCAAGTAAGTCACAGGAGCATAGGACAATGAGAACAAACAACACATCTGTTTAATAAAACCGAGACTAAGTCATTTTGAATAGGATTTTGAACAATACAGTCAAGCCTAGGGTTGCCACACGTTTTCACTAGCTATTTTACATACAAATTTTTAAATTAAGACGTAGAAAGCTATCCAAATTGGTGCTAAGTCACAATCTAAATAACCTAATTGAAATTTGTTTACTTAAAGTTTTAAATTTATTATTATGCACTATCCAACTATAACTGTCTGATAGCGATGTAGTTTTAGAACTTCCTATAGCGTAAATAAATAAGAATCTTAAGATTGGTATTAAGGTATCTGAAAATTGGAGTTACTCCCAAATAATGAGAAAGATAGTTCTAGAGACGTTATTGATGTACATTCCGGACATAGAGATACGGCAAATGATCGCTTACATTTACAAAACTGGCTGTTCTATTTGTGAAATTGCTGAGTCGAGTTTAAACGAGATCAAAACTGAGTAATAGCCCGAATGACCTTTGTGCCTTCGAATATTACCGGTTCACAACTATCAGGTATCGGGTCCAATACCAAGAATTAAAAACGTTTTGACTCCACTCTAAGAGGTTAGAGCCTGCGGCCTCAGAATGAGTTATTGCATTTCATACGCCGTAATAGTTGTCATGCACTGAAATATGGGTAGGAAATGTTTTATGTTAAACTAATAGGTAGTTAGAAATTGCACAGGTAGAGGTCATTGGTTATTGTCTGAAGCTTTATTAGTTCGGGTCGGATTTTGCCGTCTTCAGTGGTAGATCTCAATGAAGTCTTCTGCACAACTTTCGCAACGGGACCGTCAGGGCTGATCCAAGTACTTAATTTTTTGACATTAAAAAAACTCTGGTACAAATAAATCAGATCGGAGAATCTTATTAAAACCGAAACCAGGATTACCGGCAAAACACCAGGACATAGTCCAATAATTTAGCAAGGTCAAGTGGCACAGGTGGAATAAACGAGTTCTAGAACGTCTCAGTAAACAGCGTAGGAAAGCAATCTGCTTGGGGGACTGACGTCAAAAAAGATAGGAGCTTACATCGAGGGAGGCTTACATCCAGATGACCGTGATGAGGATGCGTTTGCCGTCAGATAGCCCCTCATAATGCAGGTATGGTTCTCATAGCTAGGTTCTGGAGTGGAGGCCGCGTACCGGAAAACGCAGCGTGGGACGTCCACCCACAAAGTGGACCGACGACATCATAAAGGTAGCAGGAAAGCGCTGGACGCAAGCCGCTACCAATCGGGGTTACATGGAAAGCATTGGGGGAGGCCTATGTTCAGCAGTGGACGTCCTATGGCTGAGATGACGATGATGATGATGATGATGAATGCAGGTATGACATGTAGTCCCTCGGAGCAGGACTACCCACAGACATTGTCGATCAAGAGCGACTTACTTGGCGTCGATGTGCAGGATCTTCTTGTCCACGACTGTCTTCATGGGCCAGGAACACCGGCTCGTTGCGGCTGCACAGTGGAGGTATGACACGTAGTCCCTCGGAGCAGGACTACCTACAGACATTGTCGATCAAGAGCGACTTACTTGGCGTCGATGTGCAGGATCTTCATGTCCACGACTGGCTTCATGGGCCAGGAACACAGGCTCGTTGCGGCTTCACAGCGGAGGTATGACACGTAGTCCCTCGGAGCAGGACTACCCACAGACATTGTCATCAAGAGCGACTTACTTGGCGTCGATGTGCAGGATCTTCATGTCGACGGCGTGCACGGTGGTGAAGACGTTGGTGGCGCCGTGCACGACGCACTCGCGCGTCTCGGGCATGGCGAGCGGCGTGCACGCGGCCAGGAACACCGGCTCGTTGCGGCTGCACAGCGGCAGGTATGACACGTAGTGCCCTCGGACTAGCACCACCTACAAATAAATTAAAGATTAGACATTTACCCTTGGCCTTGGTCACTAGACTTATTGACGTCCACCCACAAGGTGGATCGAGGAACACATAAAGGAAGCAAGAAGGCACTGGGTGCAGGTCACAAGCAATCGGGCGATGTGGAAATCATTGGGGGAGGGCTATGTTCAGCAGTGGACGTCCTGTGACTGAAATGATGATTGTGGTACATGTTATGTAGAAGTAATGAGAGGCACCATGTAACAGACTGGGCGGGAGCTAGTAACATGCTCTGCGTCAGGTAAATTAAAATTAGGCAGACTAATAAAAAGGATAAATCCAATAAAGTAGAAATTTAAATGTAAATGCGATATGTGATTGATTAAAATTTCATCAGTTTTGTTAATATTCTGTAAATCTATATTAATATTCCCCTGATGTTACAGACGCTGCCAATTTTCAGGAATAAATTTTTTTTCAGTTTCAAATTTATTCTTAGAATTATACTTACTTTCTGGTCCCCAAATCGCATCTGTCTCCTGGCGTTCCTAGAGACGTTCATCCTACAGAAAAAATGTCTATTCTTTGGTTCGTTGTCAGTCTCGGTGTTGTCAGCTCTGTTGAGCTCCATCTGCACCGTCTGGTGGTCCTGCCGGTCGATGATGTCGTACACACTGTCCCCGTGGATAAGGAGGTCTTCCTGGAAAGGAAGTTAGCATGAAAATGCTGCGACATGTGTCACTGATTTGCATTGAATATGTACTTTTGGTGTATGAGTACACTTCCTTAAATTATAGTTTTCTTATTAAATTGGGCGCGGGTTCCAAGCTAGTAGCTAGTCCCCCCGAGCTATTTAATCTATATTATGTCAAACTGAAAATCTGGGTTCCAATCGTGGGAAAGAGAGGGTTAGTTAATTTTCCATTAGTATGTTCATAAAGTGTTTTAATTTAGGTACACTTTATTTTCAATTAATTTTAATGAAACAAAGAACGGAAAATATCTCAAACTCCCTGTATGCCCTTTTCAGGAATGTTTTTATCTAGGGAGACTGACTTATGGATTTCACTAAAACATCATTCAGAGGAACATTAGGTCATTACCATAATAAGTAAGTTACATAAACACAACATCAAAAATATTAATATAAATAAAAATAACCAAGTTAAAATCAATATACAAACCATAGAGTGTCCTAAATATTCTGCCGCATTTTCCGATATGTACAATAGTTTTCCATTCTGTGTCATCATCATCATGAACCCGTTCATTGCCTGAAAGAAAATCATTGCTATAGCGTAATGAGTACATACATTGTAATTATTTAAATAAATCAACTTGAATTGAGATCAAAACAGCAAACATTTAGGCTGAGTTGCACCACCTGACTTTGACCGTAACTATGACGTTAACGGTGTTTTTTGTATGGAGTTTGACAATTTTTTGACGTTTGTCAAAGTTAAAGTAACATGGTGCAACCCAGCCTTAGATATATAATTGATTTAGTAAGTTTAGTAAGTTTTCTAGTACGCTAATACTAAAGTATTAAAAATGCTCTGCGAATAAATGACTGTCACAAAATATTGAATACGTTAGCGTCAATGCCAATCATAATAGCACGACTGCGCTAGTAGAATTTTTTCATCGCTAAGTTTGTAAGCCCGGATCAAAATATTATCTTTTGACTCTATTTGCTCGACATCTTAATCAACAAATATTTTATTAACAAAGTTCCGTTCCATACAGAGTAAAGCTTATTTTAACTTTAAGTTAAGCAGTGCGGCCCCTTATCTAAGTTGTAGTTGTTGCGATTTTGGCACAAAAATATACATTAATTCTGTACTAGGCATTACGTTAAAAAGTATGAAAATCTCGAATATTGACTGAGAGCAAACTTCACAGTAGATATTATTAAACTGTGACCGTGATTCCATTTGCAATATAATACAGTTCTAACTAAAATGCAAATAATACGTAGCACTTAAATAAACAAATTCACACGGCCATTACGTTTGTAGGACAGTCAGCATCCGAAAAAGCACTAAAACTTGACACTGAAATCTTTTTCAATCAGGTCCTATATAATACTTGCAAAAGCTTGATACTAAAGCTTTACTAAATCTTGATCTTATAAATAAAGTAATTCAAATACATAATTATTTTGTCAATTAATCATTTAGGTCTTGTAAAGTCTACACTTCTGAAAGAGTTAATAATTCAGAAGCAAACACTCAATGTGGTAAATATTGTAATGTTCGTAATGTACCCATGCTTCATGCTTTTGCTTCTGACTGTACTCTATTTTCAGCAAAGAATAGAATATTTCTGTATTTCACGGTTTGTTATTTTTCTAAAACATTTCCTTGCTTCACTTATTGTGATTTACAGGCTATTTTTTACCTAAATCATTATAATACACATTCAAGTAACCTTGCATTTAATTGTGTAAACTACATAAATGTGTGTAAGTAAATGATGTTATTAGATCTTTTAGATACCAAATTAATCTAAGTCCACTCTCACTCTATTTATAAGAATACACTTTTAGGCTGGGTTGCATCATCTTACTTTGACTTTAACAACCGTCAAAAATCTGTCAAGCTCCATACAAAAAAACACCGGTTATCGTTATAGTTACTGTTAAAGTTAGGTGGTGCAACTCAGCCTTATAGTTTCAAAACTTTGGGACCCAAATCTTTTGAGAAAACAGATTGTAACAGATCACAAAATCTGTTCAGTACAGATATCTTTAAAAGTGTACTGAAAAACCCTTCTTATCTTTCCACTACAAAATGTTTATCATGGCGCTCGTAAACTGAAAAAAATACCTTTGAAAATCCAATATTGGGAGTGGGTGTTGGTTGTTCTTGATACTGATAGCTGAAGTCGTGACTTTTGAACACTAAAACAAAAGAAAGACTTTGTTATGGCCGGAGTAATAGCAAAGTGCGATAAGATAAACAACTAAACGCATTTAAAACGTCTTAATACGACGATTCGTGACAGAAGGTGAACTGCCAGGGTTTGGGAGACCGATGTGACGGATAAAAACGTGATGGGTATAAAATTTGGAGCATGGGAAAGATTCGGGGAAAATTTTCGGGGATGGGAATGATGGGTCCATGTAATGTTATCTAGATGCGCGCTAAACGTTTAGAAAAGGCTCTGATATAATCTGAAATACAGTACATTTTGTCTATGTATTAAGATTAAAACATAGGAACTCAGTTATCGGTCCAGTATCTGGTTTATTTACGAGTAGTAGATTATTTCCTTGAACTGTTGCATAAGTTCAGGAAAATAGTGTAGTTAGGAAAAATTAAAATTAATAATAGTCTATCGGTTGTCCTTATTTATGAGGGAAAGTTATTATAACTTACTTAACTATATAACAACACAGTCATGCGCTGTGTACTTAGAAAAAAATATTTTTATTTATTTATCATTATCATCAAATACATGAGATAAATAAATACATATTCATAAATGAGAAAACCTCGGTTTGGTACCTTGTTTAATCTAACAGATGATCAGTGTGCTTACCATGAGTTTACGTTAGGTGAGCTCGCTAGCGAATACGTCAAAAAATCTATGAAGATTTTATTACTTGAAAGTAGCCGCTAGGGGCGCTGCACAATATGTCATACATTTAAATGACATTTTTTTACGCAGTCGCTAGCGAGCACACCTAACGTAAACTCATGGTAAGCACAGTTGTTATACAAAATAGTAGGGAAAATAAAGCAAGGGTTTAAATGATGTTTTTAACAGATATGAAAGTTGAGATCTTAGGTTCCAGATATTTAGGAAACCTTACCTTGCTGGAAATAATTCATCTTCCTAACGTACACGCAGACCAAAGCCATGAGTTGCAGCTGTGACAGCCTCTGCCTGGTGGAGGGGGGGAGGGGCAGGAGATCCCGGAGGTTCGAGATCTCCGCGTTGATGAGGTCCCGGCGCATCTTGCTCGCGCCTTTGGTGGATTTTGTGGGTTCGAACCTGGAATATTTTGGGAGTTAGGTCTGTTGTTGTGCTTTAGTAGACTTAATTGTAACTTTAATTATCTATTCATACATTAAACACATGTGTCAATGGTAAATTAAGAGGGTCGTCCCATTACTACAGGAGTGCAGAATCCTAATAAAATTTGGATGTCTGGATAGATGTTTGTTACTCTTTCACGCAAAAACTACTGAACGGATTTTGATGAAACTTTACAGTATAATAATACTTATATAATAAACAATAGTTTATAACCAAGAATAACATATTAGGCTATAATTAATGACGATCGACGACAAAATAAATTGCACGCGGGTGAAGCCGCGGGTAAAAGCTAGTCTATTCATACATTAACACGTGTGCCATTGGTTTTGTGAAACTCGTCCCATCACTACAGGAGTGCAGAATATGAGATATTTTCGCACATTACATTTCGCATTGAGCAGTGTGAGCTGCAACTACGAGTTCTTGGAATCGTAAATATTATTAAAATTTCAAAGTTTTAGACATTTTGTCACTGTTAAAGTAATTAGTAGAACGCATTGCATTACATTCATAACGAGTTTTATTCACATGAATGCAGGAATCGATCTACATTGATACCTATTTAAACAATATCATCTCACACTTTCCTTATACGTCATCGTCAATTGCAACATAATTGCATTCGCTTACGCATTCAGATCCAACGTCAGATTGCTGTCATTACAATATCCTTTAAAATAAGGATATTCAAATGGAATCGATGGTTTTTCTAGGATTCGTAGACAATGCGCGGATACTGGGTTCCGGACAGATGTACTTTGAGTTGCGCCGGCGCAGTCGCGGATCTTGGAAGGATGTGTTGATTTATTGGGGAGAGTGTGAACTATATTATGCTAATTTGGACTTTTATTGTATAATAATTAACTAGTTGAGAGTTTTGAAAGAGATTTAGAAGTCGGAGATCAGAAATAATATTAGCTAGTGGGTTAGGTGTATTAGTTTAAAAAAGGTTCATATGAAAGCTCAAAACTTTATTTCGACTGTAAGTTGATTGACTAATTTTGACTTTTCATAAACTCTCTGATGTCTAAATGACGCAATAAATATATTATAAGTGTAAAGATTACAAACTGTTGACTGCTAAGCTAATTTAGAAATTAATGAGAGCTCAGTAAAACTGACTTAGAGGAAGGAATATAAACGTATACCTACCTAATTAGAAATCCGCTGTGTTTTCATTCTTAGATCAAATAATCCAGAAATTAATCCAATAGATAAACATTTTAATTTTTAACCCACTAAAAGTAATTAATTCCTTGGGCACCTATCTACTAATTCATGATAAATATTTATCAATCGGTTCGATTAAACAATCGTATTGAGCATTAAAATATTTTTTCCGGTGAAAACTGTCAAAAAGCAAAGACCGATTCATTAGTAACAAAAAACAAAGGAAGTTTCGTTCCGGCACCGGCGCGCGCGCGTCTTTCATCTCTTTGGGAGTCCTGGCGGCTTCGTTTTGTTTTTATTTGTTTGTTATTTGGCTCTGTGGTTCCGTAATAAAGTTAAATTGTTATTTTGTGGATAGGCTACACGCAACATGCTTTTACAATAAGTTTTAACGGTTGCGGACAGGGAAATGGGTTAATTTAAATTTTAAACTAGTGTAAGAGAGTAAATTACTCGTAATAGAAACGTTAAATAGAAATGGCTAATTCAAAATCTTTTTGGAGATAGGCAAACGTCAAATAAATTATTCGTTAATAGATACAGGTGAAATTCATATTATTTAAGTAATTGGAGCCCCCTTACTTTACAAAACCAAAACCTTTTAAACAAGGTCGCTAACAAAAAAATCTACTCTCATGCTCTCATCAAAATTGTAAAGTAAAGCACACTTTTATTTAATCAAATTCCCGATGTCCCCATTGGTGGAGACCCACTCGTATAAACCGATATTTCTATATTACTACCTATACGGAACCCGGTGAGAAAGGCTGGTCTCATTCTTGTCCCAACTTAAGTATGATTGTGGGAACCACCGATGATTGCTCCCTGACGTTTAGTTAATTTGATTGTGCGTTGAGTGATTGCTGACGATTCGGGAATCCACGGCCGTAGGCTGTTACGATTAATGTTGGTTACAACGATTGATTTTAGTTTTTTTTTGGTGACGATGACTTTTATTTATGTACAGTCGACCGCACTCTATACAGGGTGTTAAGTAAATGGATATATGCGCCGACACTAGCCCATATTAACATATGCATATAAATGGTATGGTGAAGTCAGTTTGATATCATAATTTTGATTTTTTAAATTTTCATACAAAATAAAACCAGATTTGTATGAAAATTAGAATAATTAGAATGATGATATAAATTTTTTGACTTCACCATACCAATTATATGCATATGTTAACATGGGCTAGTGTCGGCTCTTAAACCCATTTACCTAACACCCTGTATTGTAACTTTTTGTTGCAAAATAGGTCCTATAACAACTATATTACATACCAAAGTATTTAGTTTCATGAGATGTCATCGGTACAATATTTTTGAAATTGCTTGCGGTTCATGTACTAGACAAAGCCACGTTTGTGAGTTAGAATCTCTTGATTAGCAAACGAGCATTTAACCGAAGCAATGGTGAAGAAAACTGTTTCTAATTCCCATGAATGTAACTCTTTTGTAGCTAAAAATTGTGGCTTGAAAGCTTTGCGATTTAAAGCTTTTTAATACAACTAACTATTTAATATTTGATTATTTTTTTAACTTTAAAAACTGCCGACTGAAGATCAAAGCTTGCTTTAATCCTTGGATTATAAACTACACAAAGTCTTGTGTAATATTTTGAGTTAATTTTCCAATTCTCTTCATAGTACAAACATTCCTTCAATTCCATAATGGATAAAATCCTGATTGAGATAATGATACCGAATCAAGAAGACATTTGTGTACAATCATTTCCTCATGTGCTAAGCATTCTTCCCTCGATTTGCCTATCAAGCAGCATTATCCGTATTCTCTATAGGTAATCGTTTACGTACAAAAAGCGCATTCCATACATACTGGGGCCGACGTGGACATTTCACGGTGTAAGCCGTACAAATTCCATGCATTAGCATGGGCATTTTGGATGGAAATGTTTTGGGCGAGGACGGTTTTTAATCGACTGGTTATTTTAAGGGTAGGTACAATAAAAGATAGAGATTTTGTCAGAAAGCACGTTAGTAACAATATTGGTACTGGTTATACAATTTATTAGAAAAAGAAGGAATCCTGTAGCAATCGCGATGCCAATAATTGCAACTCCATTCAGCAAATAACGTCATTTCTTATGTTTTTTAGAGGAAAAGACTAGTCTTACGATTGTACCATAACGTAGACTATTGTAGACGTAGGTATTTTACCAATTACATTACATATAGTATACGAGAGCGTATTCGGCCAGTAATTTTCAAAGCATCGCTGATTAAAAATTAGACTATTTATGCCCGTTTTCACCATCAATCCCTAATTTTTAAGTGACTATGAAAACAAAATTCCTTGTATGTGTTATCATGGGGGTAATTTAAAATTAAGGATTGATGGTGAAAATGGGCATTAGTTAATTACAACTTTAGACTACACGTAAAAACTATAAATTCAAACACGAATGTTTCAGTTTAGATTTATGTAGGTAGAGCGTTTCAAAGCAAACTCACAAAACAGAAAACCACCTAACACTTCTATCATACGCTAACTTTTATTTGTGGTAATTATGAAATTTGATTCAGAGAATATACTAAATTCAGAAATACTAAAGTTACGATCAAATTATCTTTACTAACCGAATTTACTTCTTCGGATCCGTCGGAAAGTTTAGCAAAATGATATTTGAATGATTGAAATGACTTTGAGCTCTCATTTGTGACACTTCACAACTTAAATTGCCGCATCGGAATTCATAGGTTTATTAAAATGATAAAACCAAATATGGCTTGTAAGTAACACGTTTCTCATACAGTCGGACTCGAAAATTATAGTCAATTGCTTACTTAGAAGAAAACTCAATATAGCGTTCCTATGTTGCATTTTCTTATGTTTTAAACCTAATGCCGAATGAAAGCTTGTCGGGTAGAGTGGTAGTGGCAGAACAAATATCATGATAATATAATACAGGTATCAGAAAAAATCCCTAATGGTTTTAAGTAACATGGTTTGAATTATTTTTTCATATTATTAATAATTAATTTTTACATTAATTTATTAATCTTGTTTTTATTTTATCTTATAAAAATATTTATTTTTAGAGTATTTTTTTTTATTTACTCTTTATTTAAACTTACTATTAATAAATTAGGTAATAATGTTACTATTTTTATGATGAGAAAATGTATGCAGCGTCTCTACCAAAATTCTTAGACTGAGTTGCACCATCTTTCTTTAGCTTTAACAAACGTCAAAAATCTATCAAACTCCATACAAAATACACCGGTTATTGTCATAGTTACGGTTAAAGCAAGTTGGTGCAACTCAGCCTTAATGTACTCATATTGATTGTTACAGTGCACATATTTCTACACTCAACTGTACAAACTGTAGTGAACTGCGTAAAGTTCATAACAAATTGTCAAAGATATTAAACGATCCGTCACGAATCGGCTGAACACCTTTAACATGTCTAACCCTTGGTGATAAGAGCTAGAGTCGCTTGTCAGACAAGTACTGGATGTTTTTGTAGTGTCTGTGTTTATCTGTGTAGCATTGAGTTTGATTTTTCAGCGAATGTTAGCGCGTAAAAGGCTTTGGATGACGCCGTATTTTATGTAAACTTCATTTGAATACTACACTTTAAATAACGAGAAGGTTATTATAATTAAAACTTTTTCTTTAAAAGGAAAATGTATATTGGAAATGTTAAAAAAATTAACTTAAGTGAATAATATAAATAAGCAACAAGCCGCTTTTGGCAAAACTTATAAACCATAAAAAGCTTATGAAACTTGTAATTTAGCCTCGTGTTATAATTAAAATATTTTCGTTTTATTTCAATCATCGTTATTTAAATATTTATACCTACTTACCTATTAATTACATAGAATAAGATCTACTACCAGGTCCAAATATAAGTTTTTTAGAATTTCTTTACAATTTCAGTTCATTTTTCAGCTGGATTATTTACAAAAAATCATCCGTTTTAAACTGCGGAAATAATGTGACATAACATAAGTAACTTGAGTTTTAAGGTCAAGAAGTGACTTACTTGTTAGTACCTATTATACAATTTCGTTGAGTGGGTACTTTGTTTCCGGATCGGTGAAGTGTGAATCGAACAATAATTTGGAAGTTAGATCAAACCAGTTCAAACTGGAAACAATAACTTCATATTATCGTAAAACTGTACTTTTCCTCTAAAATCTGCCAAGGTCTTATTTGAAAATCCAGTAGAATTCAGAAATATTATTTTTATAAATTTTACAATTTTAATTTATGAATTACAATTAAGTATAGTATGTATTTCTGGAAATTCTGTATTTAAATAAGAAACGTGGTTATACTATTTGTTTGTTAGTAGTTTAAGTACTAAGATACGTATGTACTTATAAGTATAAGTTATAATTACCAAAACTACCGGTAAGATTTTTGAAACGAATAACAGACGCATATCATTTCTACAATTTACCTACTCTACTATTATTTATACTTAAATACTAGCATAATAAGTAAGCAAAATTATCATAGGTCATATTCATTCCTGAAAATCGACAGATATGTATGTTTTTCAAATGTAGTACCAGCATGTGTCTTTGTGACGTAGGTACCTATTTACTGAAATTCAAGTGATCGAGCGTACGCGCATGAGGGTGTTTAACATTGAGAGACAATTTTTCGGTATAAAGTAATATAGTGTTTGAATTAATATGACTTGTTAATTGTATTGAAAAATGATAAAAATTGCATAAATATTCCACTATTCAAATAAGAGGAGGCTGAAATATAGGTAACTAGTTGTTTGAGTTACGTAGAATGACCAGAATGAAAAATTAAAAAATACAGTTAAATTAAAGTTAGAATGTAAATAGTAAAATAAAATAATTAATAACAAAAACGCGTGATGAAAATAAATTCAGTCATACCTTAGAAACATCTTGATGATAACTCAAAATATCAGCAAAGATAAAAAACTAAATAATAAATCACTTAACACTCCTGATAAAAATCCATCATAAAACAAAACAAACACGACCACACAGTTCGACCGGCCAAGTTCTAATGATAAGTCAATAAGAAAAACAACCCTTTACACCGCACATCACAAAATACAGTCATAATAAGTCGGCCATAAAAATAACAATAAACCGCACGTGTCACACATATTCAACACCTATACAACCTCACAGCGCGATGCCTCGGCGCGCAATAAAAAAAAACTGTTTAAATTCAACATTAATGACAGCGCGTCAATGCGTGAGCTTTTTATTAGAATGAGATTAAGGCTCGATCCTGAAGCTCCGATACTTCCGTGCGCTAGCGCATCGCAGCACCGACTATAAAAAGCCTCCGTTAAACCTCTCTTTCCCGCGAGACTCGTTTTCTTTTTTTGACGAAAACATGCGCTCGGCGCTTCGACCAGTCCTTCAACGAAAAAAACATTTGAGAATTTTTGAAAACTTCCAATTTTAAATGGACATTTTGAAAATAGTACTGGCTATAAATAAAAAAAAAGTCTGAAATACAGCTTCATTCCGCGTAATGAGCTAGAGTGTGACAGAGACGGTCGTATAGTTCTTCGTAGCGTTTTTCCGCTTTGTTTCGTGTGAAAGAAATGGAATGATCGTTTCGTTACGAGCTTGCGGTCAGATTAATGAGTCCGAGGGAGACGTAGGTAACGTTGTTGTAATTACGCGGCGGGTAAACGAGACGAAAGTATAATGATTGGGCGCAGTGACAGTTATTGATATTGTCGTTATGACGCGATTTGCGAAGGAGGTTCCTTGCGCGCGCGCAGATCCTTATGATAAGGTTAATTAGAATTTAATGACAGACGCCTGATCGTTTTTGCGTATAAAGCGTGTAATTTCATAGTTAGTAGGTGGGCAATACGAGAGATAATAATCAGATGGTACTGGAGATGCCATTTATAATCACTGGGTAATATCCGTGACATTGTGATCGTTAATTAAGTTGTTTATTAGGCTTTATCGGATAACATCTAACAGGTTGAAGAAGTATAAGTACTTTAACAGCATAGTTTTGCTTTATCGTGAAGCTCTACGATCTAGTTTTGCTCTACCGTGAGTTAAGAAGTTTTTTGTAGGCTTGGCATTTGTTTTGATTGCTGAAATGGTTTTTTAGCCCTTTTTCTTTTGAAGTAAATCAAATAAGCTATTTTTATTAATGATTCTTAAATCACAATGAAATGTGTAATCGGTTTATGTGATTGATTAGGTATTTCAATTTCGTGTTTAGGTAAGTATTCCATTTTCCTTGCTTATAAGAAGTATGTTGTTATTTGTACAGAGTAACAGAGTTATTAACAGTTTTGTAGTTTCTACGGTTTTTTATTCCTCGCTCTAAGAATAAATAGACAATCCTACCAGAGGTGGAATTGTGTAAAAGCAATCGTAATCATTTGACAGTTCATAACGTACGATAAAGTCAGTTATACAAAGCGTTTGACAGAATAATCGTATGTTATGAACTGTTAAATGATTACGATTGCTTTACACAATTCCACCTCTAATCTGGATTCCATTCCCTTCATTCCTATACCTCTACCAAAGCATATCGATCTTAAAAAAGACACAAAGTAGAAATACACACGTGTAATTCTTTATTTTTCTTCTTAAATTACACGAAAATCAATCTTATTTAAACTAAACATATCGCCTTCCCACATTAACATGGGCGATGTGTAGATTGCCGTGTTATCGGCGTAACGCGGGTGCGGGCCTCGGGCTTCACTTAAAATGCAGCCTCGAAAAAAAACTACAAAAAAACTAACATGAAAAGGAGATGCGAGATTTGATTACGTTGTTCCACTCGGCCTAAGGGGATGCGAATTTTCGCGTTATTAATTTGACTTTACGCGTTTGAGAAATGTTTGTTTTAACGAGTACAAAACAATAATTAAAATGAATGATCTTTGGATCAGAAAGCAATATGCTTTACTTTAGGTTCTTTAAGTAAATGTAATCTTATGTAGGTAATCTTATGTAGATACAAAAACACCGGTTATCATCAAAGTTCGGTCAAAGTTAGGTGCAACTCAGCCTTAGTCTAGTCAAGTGACCAAAATCACTCAATTGACGAGACCGCTTCGTATAAGTTCGTTGGCAACAGTTAAGTTATGTATTCTAGGTGTTACGTCAAATATTGACCGAAAGATGCGTAACGCACGACAATTTTCAGTTAACGTATAGCACTTCATTCAAGTGTTGTTTCATCGTGGAAAATGACTGTTAAAATGATGGACTTTGCATTTGACATACTCGTTCATCACGCATGATTCCTTGAACATTTCTTTTAAAAATGCATTGTCATTTACATGGTTGGGAACCTAATCCAAATTATTCTTCAAGTGGTTAACCCTTCATTTGGCAAGACACAAATTGTTTGATTTTTTCAATAAAATCTATTTAGACCTAATTGTTACTATCAAATAAAGTTAAGAAAAATAATAAAAAAAATATTTGGTTGGTATTTTCGCGAAAAACGATTGTTGCTTATTTATCACATTGCCAAATAGGGGTACTTAAATAAAACATTGAGATATATTATAGAATTAATAAAAAAATCAATCGTATTTCACATTTTATGCATTAAACTATTTTTTGGCCATTTTCGCAAAGTCGACAACGACCTTTTTCTCCAACATTTGATAGATGACGCATGTCATCATACTTCACGATCAATATGCCGAGCCAAGGTTGGCTTTTTATTTTCTCTTTAGCTTCTGAAACTGGTATGTTACCGTTATCTGCTATAGTTGTTGACTTCAACGCAAGAAAAATGTGTTTATCATTTAAATCAGTTNTATGACACGTAGTCCCTCGGAGCAGGACTACCTACAGACATTGTCGATCAAGAGCGACTTACTTGGCGTCGATGTGCAGGATCTTCATGTCCACGACTGGCTTCATGGGCCAGGAACACAGGCTCGTTGCGGCTTCACAGCGGAGGTATGACACGTAGTCCCTCGGAGCAGGACTACCCACAGACATTGTCATCAAGAGCGACTTACTTGGCGTCGATGTGCAGGATCTTCATGTCGACGGCGTGCACGGTGGTGAAGACGTTGGTGGCGCCGTGCACGACGCACTCGCGCGTCTCGGGCATGGCGAGCGGCGTGCACGCGGCCAGGAACACCGGCTCGTTGCGGCTGCACAGCGGCAGGTATGACACGTAGTGCCCTCGGACTAGCACCACCTAAAACAATTATACATAATTTATAACTGTCTTGATATGGACAAAAACGATAACCATTGTGATATGTATTCTCCTTGTTTTTCTTGTCGTGTCGACAGCTAACCTATCTCGTATATACAGTGTCAGCCCAAAACTCCGCTACAAATTTGGCGTTGTTAGTAGATAACATCACTTAACATCAGCTGCGATTGTGGTCAAATATGTAACCTGCCTTATTATGCATAAAAAAAATTGTGCCCTGCGTGCAGTTGTTTGGGCACGCAGGGCACTACATATTAACAAATAAAATAGTGGTTGCTGTAAATCATACCCGCATCGTACATGATGAACTTTTTTAAACGAAATAAAAGCTTAGTTGAGTAATCAGGTAAGAACATTCACATAACTAACTTACTAGGTAGACCTAGTAGACCTACTGACCTAGGTAGATCTTTCTACTATAGTGCATATTAATGTAAATTATACTGATTCGCAGTTTAGTCAGCTAAAACATATCTAAGCAGTTGTCAACCCTAGCTAAAACTGTAGAGCAAAATGCAAATTAACTCAGCATTTGAGGAGCTGCCTCAGTAGAGTTAGTCTATACAAAATAAAGTTATTTAATATTCAAATGAAGCAAAGATAGTTCGCAAGGAATATTATAATGAGGAGAATTAATGCAAATGACTTATTTAGTTTTATTGCGTATAATTACAGAATATACGACGCTGTTTCAGGTTAGTTATGTGTCTAGTGTCCAACAGTTATTTTCGTAATACATCTGAAGTTTGACAAGATATAAATATGATTTTATGCGGCGATAACTTTTACTTTCTTGAAGAGATAGGGATATGAAAATTCATATTTATGTATTTGCCGTGTTCTAAGCTTATAGGTAGGTATCATATACTGGAAAATTTTCACTTCGGAACTTGGTCTGCAAGCTTTTATTTGCATTTAGAGTAACACTTTACGTCATCATAGGCATCATCAGGTAGGTAAATTAAGTATTTGTTCACTTTTACACTCTCAGTGCTGACCAGACGTTGGGGACTTGGGGAGGCCTTAGAAGATATATCTTTGAGATATTCACAAAGTCCCTTAGTCGCCTTTTACGAAATCCACAAAACGAGTAGTTCTATTGTGCTAGGCTGGAACCCACATGGCATTAACGAGTCATACTCCATTATGTGAAATGACATGATAGATTCCAAAAGTGTTCCAGAACCGGAATAACAGTCGTAACTCAACCATTATTTTGTAACACATTTTTGCTCCACCACTTAACACTGGCCCTGGCATGTCACAAACTCCGACCCGAATGAGACAGGCGTGGCCCATTGACATTCTTCGGGTTTTACAATAGAAAGATAAGTTCGACACAATAGTTCACAGTTCGCGCGGGCGCAATCTTCGATCCGGGTCCGTGCGACCTTGGACGATATTTTAACTGTATTGAACGATCGTATTCATAGTACTGATTAAAGCATCGACTCTTGATACTTGGAATGAAAGTCAAAGTTCTAATCCAATTCTAATAATCATTTAAAAAATCTAGCGTAATCAAAGCAGAATCACAAGAACTTTTGCCCCTTCCGAGTAAATTTTGATTGTTATAATCACAAGATATTATGGCGCCGGAAAAAGATTGGAATACTACTAGTATAAACTTTACATATTTTTTCACATTGGAACAAATCTCTTAAGTTTTCAAATTGACAAAATTGGATCGTTTTAAACCTGATATTAAAATATTGTATTTAGATTATTGAGATTTCGATGCCACACACGATCTTACATCTGCATCGTTAATATTGATAATGGCTCACTATAATCATGTAAAACAAAGACGTAAGCGGCTATAAAATTGTGTGAAATCATGTACGTTCTCAACTTAATTCATAAATAAAATACATGTAGATTGGAGACTGGTGCAAAGTGTACTTGTGCTTTAATTCCGAATGGTAATAATAATTTATAGCAGAGTTGCGTGTGATGACGTTCTACTTTGGTCCAATGTGTTGGTCAAATACAAAGTAATGACTCTCACGCCTAAACAGTTAATCATTTTTGACAAAATCTAAGAGAAAAAAGGGACTCTGGATTATAAGTAAAATCTAATATCTAAAAACTTTTTAAATAAAACAAAGGCCTGCATTATACATACGCCCGGAAACATTAAGTTGTATGGAATATAATACAGCAATGTTGCTCGCGTAAAAAAGTTTAATCTACTTAACAAGGCATTCAAATGATGCGATCCGTGTGGGCCATGTCATACAATCTCCTCTAGAACAGCCATACCATAATCTGAGCTTTTTTAAACAACACCTATTTAATATTTATTACTATAAAACATAATCATAATACGTCACATGTCACGAAATAAAAGCCGTCGACCTTTTTGGCAATACTTTATTAGTCATTTATCATTAGGTCTTTGGTCTCAACTGCAAGAGTATGACTCTCTAATTTACCGGGGGCAAATGGAGGATTTGGTCTACACTCCCAACACTGACCAGACGGGTTGATGACGCTGAGGTCACTTAGTTTTTTATTGTCCACTACGAAGAAGCTTTTGGTCTGCATCTCACCTGATGGAAAGTGATGAATAGGCCAAAGGTGGAAGCGAGCTTCACCAACCCGGAATCCTCAGCCACACAGGAACTGGCTATCTTACCTCTAACTGCCGGAACAAAATAATGCTGTTTACATTGTGGTTATGGTGACAGACAGGTTTTTATCATTCAAAAACATTGGCTGATGTCCTTTTGCTTTGATAACTCTTTGTCAGCGGTATAAATAGACCACTAGCGACATCATTTTTTTTTTCATCATTCGTATGACCGCGTTTAAATCCTGGAAGTATAGTATAGTGGTGGTATAGTGACTGTATCGGTTACTTACAAACTTATGCGGTCGGTTCCGCGTGGAAGGTTAAGCTTTGTTTAAATACCAATGCGGTTGTGTTACATATTCAACTTTGATAAGTGGAATTGCTACATTGCGCTTAAACTCATTGCTGAATTGGTTCAAAAGCTGTAAAATGGTTACGAGGGATCGAATGTCTTAATCCTTTATTTTTTCAAAACTTAAATATATTATTGACGACTGATGGGTTATATTCTAGCAAGTTTTGCCTAAAGGATTGAATTATGATTTAACTAGGATAGGTACAGTATAGGATAGGCATAGGTACCTACTCGTGTGTAATTTTGTATCACGGGCTGTTTACGTACAGAGACAACGGTGCATCTAACTCAACACTGTGGTGTTTTATATTTTGGTAATAAAAATTGTTATTGGCATCGTAGGCACATGCAAGATATATCTTTTGCCCAGTTTCGTTTGGAAATTGGAGGATCAACCGAATTTGTCCCAAATGGCAGACAGTGGTGACCGAGATTATTTGCGATGCTTCATCTCAGCACTTGCAGTTGTTCGTTTCAGAGTGTTAGTGCGGCAAAAATTCAAGAGACAATTAGTTCACACAAATACTTATTTATTTGCGCCGGTTCACTTAAATCAATCTCTGTACTTAAACCTACTTAAGTTTAAGTAACAAAACAGTGATCAGCAGATTATAATAATAAATAAATATCGAAACGAGTGCGCCCGCGACCCGCCCACAGCGTAGAGGTAATGACGGTTAATAAACCGGATACGACGATAGATTATCATATTAGACCAATGGTGGATAAGGCAACATATTGCACCGATTGGGATATGGCCCAAGTGTAATGAGTGTACTTACAGAATTTCCTTCCGATTTGAAGTATTTTTATCTATAATATTGTCCATAGATCACGCCCTTAAAGTTTGATCACACCTACTTCCCCGGACACATTGTATAGCATGCTACAATTTGGACAAGAACACGGGTTCTTGAATGGAGACCACCGGTATTCTGTGATGTTAAGGCCTTTTTTCTGCAACTGACTTAGCAAGCTGAAGTGGCAATTGGCAGGGCACATAGTACGCAGAACTGACGGCCGATGGGGCAGCAAGGTTCTGGAATGGAGGCCGCGTACCGGAAAACGCAGCGTGGGACGTCCACCCACAAGGTGGACCGACCACATCATAAAGGTAGCAGGGAAGCGCTGGACGCAAGCTGCTACCAATCGATCAACATGGAAAGCATTGGGGGAGGCCTATGTTCAGCAGTGGACGTCCTATGGCTGAAATGATGATGATGATGATGATGATGATGAAGGCCTTTTTTCTGGACTGATGTGGTATAAAAATGCAGCCGTTGTACAGATAATTCAAATATAGTTACGATTTTACTCTTCTTTTCTTCGCTTAAGGCGGAAAATTTCCACTGATCCAAAGAGTTAACCGTTCGCTTATGACTTGGACCACCGCGTTTACGTTACAGATCCATATGAAAGTACAGGGCGATCAATCGTGACTTATTATCTAAGTTACTCAGTCGCTGATTAAGATACTTTCTCATTTTGGCCTCTATTACCTCCGAATTAAGAGCATTATGTCCTGCAGAAGTGAGCCCGAATCTATCAAACTTGTCATACGTGAAGTCAACAATGGAGTGCTTTCTTAAAATTGGTCGTGACCGATTTGACATGCTCCCGTGTGTCCCGTTGATAGCTGCAGTGGCGCAAGTCAAGCTGTCTCTGTAATTAGAATGTATCGAGATTAGATTTTTGCTACTGAATCTGTCCAAATAGGGATCTAGAAAACTAACTAGAGAAATTTTATATCGGAAATGGATCTATTACTTACACAAATTAATAGTTCTACGACTACTCTGGACCGTATTTTCACGGATTCGGATCGGACGTAGTGCGAAATAATTCTTATTTTATCCAAAGAATAGAATGAAAGGTAGATACGCAACATTAAGTCATTTTATGGTTATAGTATGTTTCATGGAGTGATATGTTAGAACCTATGCGAGAAAATTACTGTGCGTCAATTTAAAGTGGCTACATAACTAGTTAGAATTTAAGAATAGTAGTAACTCTTTCTTATTTGAATGTTCAAAAAGTAGAACAAGGTGA